ACCAGGGAGTGAGGCCACTGTGTCTTCCAGAAACCCCTAGAGCCACGCCACACCCTGCCCCCTGGGCATGATGGAGTCATTTTGGACCACTCCTTGCATGTGTACACAGCATAGGGTGAGTGACAGGGTGGGGGACGCCCCCAACCCCTGACTTGCAGAAGTGATGTTTGAATCACAAGGAATGGGAGCCGCGCTGGGTCTTGACAAAGGTCACTGTGTCACCTTGTCACCAGAGCGCCTGCAGACCACCTGTCAGTGTGCTCTGACAATAGCTGCCCACGTGGACAAGTAAATAAGCAAACAGGTGGAGAGTGGGGAAACCCAGCCTCAGCTGCCCATCACCTCCTAAACCCCACCGCGGGAGCTGGGCCGGCCAATCTTCAAACACAGCGCCTTCTGTGGCTGCAGCCAGTGTCCTGGGCTTGGGAAAGAATGTGAGCGCTCCATTCTCCAAGCCCTGAACGGGGCGGAGCTCCAGGGGCCTTGGGGTGGGGCTGGCGAGGAACTCTGGGCAGGTCTGGGGTGTGCAGGCCAGGGATGACCTGCAGCAGGTGGACCGCTGGTGGGGCATCAGGGGGCAGGTTCACAACCCATATGTGTGTCTCCAGGTACAACTCTGATCTCTCTCTGTAAACCATAAGCTCCCCACAGGCACAGCCCTGGCCTGGCTCATTCTCAGCCTTGTAAGATTCTGTACAATTTTTGGTTTATTTTCACTTTATTTTAAAGTTGGAGAAATCAGGGAGGGGAGAGAGAGAGATTTCATCCGCTGGTTCACTCCCCCAGATGCCCGCAATAGCTGGCGCTGGGCCAGGTCAAAACCCACAGCCAGGAGTTCAGTGCAGGCCTGCATGGGTGGCACAGATCCAAGGACTCGGGCCATCAGCTGCTGGCTCCAAGGGTGCACATGAGCAGGGAGCCTGAACCGGAAGTGGAGCCGAGACTTGTACCCAGCCACTTGGATGTGGGTGTCGTAGCTGTGGGACCGAATGCTCACCCCCGATAAATATTTGTAGAAAGAATGAACGCTGAGTCCTCCCTCAGCTCTGCCGCCATCTGCCCGCCTCTCTGAGCCTCAGTGTTCCAGCCTGTAAATGACCTTGAGGCTCCTTTCCTGTCCTGATGGGGGGCAGGGGAGGGGCTTTCTGTTTTCCCTTTATCAGACCTGGGAGCCCTGATCAGCACAGGTGGCTGTGGAGGTCTAGTGGGCTAAGCCACCACTCGGGACACCCACATCCATACCGCAGAGCCTGATTCGGGTCCTGGCTGCTCCACACGCTTGGCCCAGCTTCCTGCTACTGCGCCTAGGAGGCAGCAGATGGTGGCTCAAGTACTTAGGTCCCTGCCACCCTACGGGGAGACCCGGATGGAGTTCCAGGCTCCTGGCTTTGACCTGCAGCTGTTGCAGGCATCTGGGGAATAAATCAGTGGATGGAAGATCTCTTTCTTTTTCTGTCCAGCCCCTGTCACTCTGCCCTTAAATAAATAAATAAATAAATATTTAAAATGGCTTCATGGTATGGAAGAGGAAACACAGGGTTGTGGGGGGGGGCACTTATCCCTGGACCTCTGACCTGTAACCTCCTCATCTGCTGAGTCGCTTTGGCTACTGTTTTCGGGAAGCTAGAGCGACACCAGGGGGTAGGGTTTCTGAGCCCAAAGAACAAGGGCATCACGGTTTTCTGTGTGCGATGTGCGGAGCAGTGCGCTCAATGCTTCATGGCCCTGGATTCTTCACCAGGATGCTGAGCGCCTGGTACCAGCGCTTGACTCATTTTACAGATGAGTCAAGGAGAGCCCAGAAAGAAGTGAACCCGGGGAGGCCACGCGGGGAGCAAACAGCAGAACTGGGGTGTGTGTGGCAGAGCCCAGGGGCTAAGCCTTTCTGATACCCTTGGTGGCAGAAATGACAGAAGCCAGACATGAATGATGCTCTCTGTCCCTGGGACTCCAGGACTCACATGGAGTTTCTGGAATCTGCACACAAGGGAGAGGATCAGGGACATTAAGTACCTTCTAGTTCAGGCTGGGGGTGGGGGGGTGGGGGCGGGGATTTGCAAGGCAGGGGCCCGTGGTCTTCTTCCAGGGTGTTAAATTGCCTTTTAGGGAGTGTCTTCAGGATCCCCGTCTCCTGCCGAACAGTGTGATGCTTTGCTGTCACCGCTCAGAGTTAACCTTTTAGGCTGTGTCGCATGTGCATCACTGCAGAAGTGACAGGTTTCTTCCTTTACAAAACTGTATTTCATAAAATAAACGTCCTATAAATTTTTAACCGGGAGCTCGCACGATAATTTCATCTTTATTTTTCTTCCTAGCACTGTGCGCTCTCTGACAGTAGATTTATTTTCTTGCTTAGTGTCTGTCTCCCCACACTGCCGGAAGTTAATAAGAGGGCTATGCTGGCTTCTGCTAGCCCCTTGGTTGGGGAAGCAGAGCCCACGGGAGGGAAGCCGCGGAAGTGCACAGCCTACAGATCCTACAGACGGCTGAGCCACTCTGGGGGGCGAGGGCTGGGGGAGCCTTTTCCTGGTCCTCATAGTTGCACCGATCTGGGGGCCACGCCAGGAGCTCAGGATGTGCTCATGGATCACCTCCCGAGTGATACTCAGCCTTATTAATAAATGAAATCATTGCCTGTTCTTGCATAGCACATGTTAGGGGCTGAATAGGGAAGCCCCTAAAAACTCAAAATGCTGGCATCCTCACCTCCAGTGCCCTGGATTGTGACTGTGACTGTGAGAGAGGGGATTAACTTATAATGAGCCCGCCAGGGTGGCTCTCAACCAAGGCAACTCATGTCCTGTGAGAGACCAGAGGTGTGTGCACACAGAAGGGAGACCACGTGACGCCCTATCGAGAAGGCAGCCACTTGTAAACCCAGGAGAGGGACCCGGGAGGCCCCACCCCACCAGCACTGGACTCCAGACTTGCAGTCCCCGGAGCAGGGAGGAAATAAAAGCCTGATGTTCCGGCCACCCCGCCCTGTGGTGCACGGTTACAGCATCGCTATTGGTTCCCTTTGCCAAGATGCGGAGGTGAGGCCCATGAAGGGAAGTGATGTGCCCAAGGCTCCAAGACTCCATAGGTTTCACATTAAAAAAAAAAAAAAACACTCTGGGAGCACCTGGTACCCAAGCCCGACACTTGTCCCGAGCTGACCCCATGCCCAAGCCTTGGTGAGCTTTTGGGGAGTGCTCTCCTCCTAACCCTCCGTGGAGGTCTCACTGTTCTGTCTGTGGGCAGCGGCTCTGCCCGCTGAGCTGGCCCTCCCCCTCTCCTGTGACTGGTAGGCTGGAGAGGGCACATTCTCCTGAGAGCATTTGCCTGTGGACTCCCCATTGTGAGAACGCACCTGCACCGCACCCCTGAAGACAGATCCCACCGTTCCACTCACTTCCTCCACCAGAGAGGTGGGGAGGGCCGAGGTCTCCCAGAGGGGTCTCCAGTGATTCCCTCCCCCAGCCCCGTCCTCCACTCTACCTCTAGCCACACACACACACACACACACACACAGAGAGAGAGAGAGAGAGAGAGAGAGAGAGAGAGAGAAGGAAGATGATAGAGACACAGGGAGAAGACGGCCATGGCCAAGCCCAGGAGAAAGCTCCCCGCTCTTCTCCAGGGCCCACACCTTCACCTTGAACTTGGACTTCTGGAACCATAAGACAGGACATCCTTGCAGTGTAAGGCACACAGACTGGGGCACTGTGTACTGGGAGACCCAGCAAACACACACACACAGGAATTCACTCCCATCAGCGGGAGCTGGGACCACCACCATCAGATGGGTCCTCGGACACACAGAGGTGGCGGTGACGATGTCACCGTGGGCACACGTACTGCTATGGTTTCGATACGGTTTGTGCCCTCTGAAACGCAGAAATTTGGTTGTCATGGTCTTGAGATCTGGAGTCTTAATTTTTGTTATAGAATTATATATATTTATTTATTTGAGAGACAGAAAGAAACAAGAGTTCCCATTGACTAACACCTCCCAACACACACACACACACAATGTCTACAACAGTCAGGGCTGGGCCAGGCCAAAGCTGGAAGCCAGGAGCCATCCAAGCCTCCCATGAGGGTGGCAGGGACGCAACTACTTGAGCCGTTGCCTGCTGCCTCCCAAGGTGTGCACCAGCAGGAGGCTGGGACTGGGAGCAGAGCAGACCCTCAAACCCAGGCACTTTGATATGGGGTGCCACCATCCCAGCCTCCAGGCCAAACGCTCATCCTCAGAGGTGACTGGGTCCCACCCGGGGGCTCTGCCTCAAGGACTGGATGAATTAATCTGTGTATTGGTAGATTCTTGGGCCATTGCCGAGGCGGCTTGGCCATAAGGGGGAGCCTTCCGAGGCCGGTGTGTGCCGTGTCACGGTGCAATGCCTTCTGCCGGGCCACGAAGCAGCATGTGGGCTCTCACCAGGAGCTGAGGTCTCCCAGTCCCCAGAGCCCTGAGCTGAACAACTCTGAGGTCTTTACCATCTGCCTGGCCTTGGGCACTTTGTCAGAGCAATCTACAATGATGGCTCCAGTTCCGCCGGGGACGAAGTCCAGATTCTTGTATGCTGGTGTGAGCACACGCTGTTGGGGTGCACCTGTGTCTGGGTGTTGTATGCACTCAGGTGTGTGAGCCCCTGTGTTTGTTCATTGGCCCACTCTGTGCACACAGTGTTGATAAACAGACCAAGGAAACACGATGGAGCTACATTTGGAGATTAAGGGAGCGTGTAGAACGAGCACTCATTTTACCCTGATGTATCTAGGGAGACTTCCTGGAGGAGGTTCACACTTGAGCTAAAACTGGCTGGCTACAGGGGAGAAACAAGGCCATTGCACACTAATGTGTAAGGGGTGGAATCGGCGGGGTGCACCTCAAACTACCCACAGGTGGGCTGGCTCCATTCTCCGGAACCCTTGCACCCCTAGCTGCACCTCCGCCACCCCCTCCCCGCACCGAGTCCTTCGTGGCACAGAGGAGAGCAGAGAGGAGACACGGATGCCAAGGAGCTCACACTTTATTTTGTACAGACTGAGCACTGTGGGAGCTCTGCGCCCGCTGCTGACTCTGCCTCTGTGAGCCCCATCTCGTCTTCAGGGTTGGCCGTGCTGGCTGGCTCTGGACTGGCGGCTCCTGGGTGGTGGCGGTGGAGTGGGGGGTGGAGGCCTGGCCGCTCTCTCTGTCCCCAGACAGTTGCGGAGTCACAAGTCTCCAAGGGCAGCTGCACCTGAGGAAGCTGGAAGCAAACGCAGGTCAGCACTGGGATGGAGAACGAACGTGGGTGGGGGGCCTGGGGTGCATTCCTGCAGACCCCCCACCAGGAGGCGTGGCCAAGGGCAGGTGGCAGAAAGAAAACTGAAAAGAGGAAACGCTGGAACACACTTCCTAAAAGGCCCAGGGCCCAGGGGCAGGGCAACCTGCCATGTTTTTGCAACCAGTGGGCACCGAGCTCCTTTGGTGATTGGCCATGTTCTCGGTCCACCCACAGTGTTACTTTCTGTGGGCGGCTGGCACCTTGACTCGCAGCAGAGGATACTACGGGACCTGCCCCAGAGCTCCCGACCGGGAGAAGGCAGATCTGAGCGTGGAAGGGGTTTGTTTAGGGAGTCGGCACTGCCCCGTGTTGTTCAAAGCTCAGGCGTGGACAGCAGTGGAAGAGGAAGACTTGGGGCATCCATGGGGGAAGGGTGGGAGCTCGAGTTTATACAAAAAAAAAAAAAAAAAGAAGTGGCAGAGACAAGGTTCCATGGGGACTTCTGCTAAGGACTGTGCCCCCGACAGGCGCATGGCCTTTCCTTGGCCTTTCAAAGTGCTCTCCATGTGCCCAGGAGCATAATAATGTAAATGAGTATCAGATCTTTACTCGGTAATTGAGAGCAAGGAGAGGACTGTGTTAAGGCAAATTAATTTGCTCGGCTGCAGCGCGAGCCCGTGTCCGCGGAGGGGGCAATGGCTTTGTGATGGGCTCAGGGCGCTTCTCCAAAGGGACGGGCAGCTCGTTCGGGTCAAGGTGCGGCCGCCTGAGCCTTGAGCTGCCCTGCGCTCTGGGATTCGTGACCCAGGAGGCTTAGGAGGGCCCGTGGGCTGCGGACAGCTCGGCCCTCACTCAGGAAGGCCCCTGGGATGTGCGCCTACAGAGGTGCGTGGCGGATAAAGTCGGGATTCGAGGGGGTTTCGGATCCTGGTTCTGCCCTGACGACTTAGCCTCTCGGACCCTCAGTTTGTCAACCTGTCAAATGGAAATAAATAATGCCAAGGAACTCTTACCACGAGGACTAGACCAGCCTGGTAGATCAAGGGTCTTCCAACCGCTCAAGAAAGATGTTTTACGGGGAGATCTCTGCATGGATTTCAAAATCCTTCTGCACCAGGACCAACTTACCTCCTCATTCCACTTGCTAGGAACTTTGTGCGGTGCACTCGGATACACAGGGCAACCATTACAGCAACAAATTCTTCCCACCTCCAACCTGAGACGTGTGTCAGGGAGTCTGGGGCTGGGGCATCAGGAGGGAGTAGGGGGGCGGAGGGAGAGGCGTTGCTTTGCCCACGTCCTTGCTAGGAGGATTTGCGTTCCATCCTGGCCCCCAGCCCCTCTCCCTGTGAGGGTTGCAGTCAAACAGTTCGTGGCACAGAGAATTGAAAGAGTACCAATGTGGGTCTTAAAACCAAAATCTTTCTTTGTGTGTCAAAGTGTGTCTTTCAGGATTCGCCCTCTGCAGGAAATTTCTGAAGCCCCCTCACATGTGTGTCACGGACGCAATCTCCATGCGTCGGTGACAGCACTGCCACTATCTCACGCCGGCCCCGCCGTTCTCCAGCCCCAGGGGGAACAGGGTGAGGGAAAGGAGCCCAGCTGGCCCCTCTGCCAGCACTGCCCACCCTGCGGGGCCCTCTCGCTTTCTGGACCGGCTGCCTTTTAAAGCGAGCAGGAACCAGGCACCTGGCCAGGGGGCTCGCTCACCACCACCATTTCAGTGAAGATCCCCAAAAGCCCTGGTTTCCAGAGCAATCGGCGGGGACGTGGAAGGCAGTGGCAGCTTCCACTTCCCTCCAGGCCCCCAGCCCAGGGGGCCCCTGCTGCTCTCCGCCCACCCCGCGCCCCGGCCCCAGGAGAACGGGTCGTGGCTACAGCTCCTTACCTGGCCCCGTCCCTACTTCTGCAGATATTTCTTCATAATGCTTTCCACGTCGTCCTCCCTCCGCCCCGGGACCGGCTCCCTGCTCTCGGGGGACGTGCGCTCACCGCCGTCACCCTGGAGGCGCGGGAGTCCCGGGCGGCTCTTGATGCTGTCGGCGCTCTTGTAGGACACGATGGAGCTGGACGAGGAGGATGAGTCCGAGAGGTGGGCGGGGTCCTCCCTGGGCTCCGGGCTCTTCTTCAGGATGGTCTTGATCCCCGAGAGAAAGCTGCGGTCGGCGTCCTCCGTCTCAAAGTGGACGCTGGGGGCCTGGGGGCCGCTTGCCCCGTCTTTGGAGGCTCTGACCAAGGATGTGGAAGCCCCGGGCTTACGGATGGCCGGCAGGAACTCGTCAAAGTCCACTTTGGTCTTGCGTTCGTAGTGCAGGCTGGGGGTCTTCCAGCTGCCCGGGTCGCTGTCCAGCGGCTCCTCCATCAGGTGGGCAAACTGGCGGTTCTGGAAGACCAGGGGCTCCTTGCCCAGGTCAGGACAGCCCGCGTCATCTACGGAGGCCTCCAGGCACCGCCTCCGAGGCCGCAGCGGGGGCGACAAGAGCATGCCCCCGGGTGCCGTGGACGGGCTGAGCCTCCTCCAGGAGCCCGGTCCCGACTCCAGCAGTGCCTCGCAGGAGCTGAACCGTGTCTTCCGCTGCTCTGGGAGCATGGCCGTGCCCTGGGCACCCTCCGAGGGGATGCATCTGAGGCTGGTGGAGCGCAGGAGCCCGGCCGAGGTCCCCGCGGCCCCCTCGGTTTCCAGGGGTGAGATCCCCCCAGCCCTCAGCGACAGGTCACCCTCGTCGCTGCCGGCCCTGCCTCTCCTGAGCGTGGAGGCGCCCGTGGTCTGATAAATGGGCAGCGTGGGCCAGTCCTCCAGGCCCAGCCTGCTCCCTGGGCCTTTCTGGGCTCTCTTCCTCCGAAGTCCTTCCACGAACTCGGAAAGGGCGGCCGAGGGGCTGGGCAGCTTTGCCCTGGGCAACGGGGATGTGTCTGGGCTTCGAGAGGCCAGGGAAGCAGACAGAGCTCCTGGGCGCTCTGTGGCCTTTCTCTGGGCACCCACCCCTTCGCCATCCCCAAAGTGGCAGGACTTGTGCCGACGCACGGAGCCGGGAGACAGGGAGGTCTCCCCGGGGGTCTTGCCGCGGTCGTCCCAGGCTCTGCTCAGCGCCGACGCCGGCCGGGGCCTCTCTGCATCTCCAGCCTCCTCGCTCATCCTGTGCCAGGAAGAGAAGTGCAGGTAGTAGGAACTGTGCGAGTCACACGGGAGCCATGCAAGCGGCGTGAGAGGGGCTAGGCACGGTCGCTACTATTATTTCTCTTTGGAAAGGCGGTTGGTCCGTGCTGCACTCTCAAATGAACCGTGTGATTTAATGTGCGGATTCAAGCCATGTAAATGGTTTCTTGTTGCTTTCTGAAATGCAATTTCTGCCTATAATTAAACCCCGCTAAGTACATCTGAGTAGATTAAAACTGCAGCCAGGAATGGATGACTGAGATTTATGAGCCATTATATCTGACTCGACATGACCCGCCATCCGGGAGGCACTGCACAGACAGGCGTTTGCTTCTCCAGGACTCAAGGGGGAGGGGCGGGGCAGTGGTGGGCCTTTATTTATCTAGGGCCAAGCCCCCAGGATGGTCCCAGCCTGCCAGGGCTTCAGAGAATCAGTGACCCAAATACAAGGGCACTTGAGAAGTCCCTGGACACATGGAATTAAAGGTGCAAGTATATTTGGATGCAAAAAGAACCCACTGTGTGTACCAGCAGCTTTCCAAAAGGGTGCAAAAAAATCTACACGATGAAAAACACTGCTTATTGATTTCAAAAAAAATTTTACCACCCTGGTTGCTTCAGAGTCGGGGCTGCGGTGGAAACGCCAATGGGGAAGACCCGCACCACATCCGCTGTGGGGCTGCATGGGAGAGGAGAGGCGGTTTCCGTTCTGGGCTTTCCTGGCACCCGGAGCTCACAGGCGCTGAGCCGCAAACCCGCGGAGGCTTGTAGTAGGGTGGAATTACCGACAGCAAGAAAGGGCGTCCTTTGGCAGGGAGACACTGGACTCCCTTGGCCTCTCCTGCACCAAATAAAATCCATTTGCCCTCCCTCCAAGAGCCACCAGCCTCTTCCCACCCTCCTGCCCACCCCCCCACAGAGTCCTCACTCCTGGGCGATTTGGCAGGAGACATGCCTGGCTCCTGGGCTTCTGCCTCCTGGACAGGAAGGGCCGCGGGGATTCTGGAGCCAGGCTTTGAGGGGGCTTCCTGCTCACCCAGACGGGGGTCACCACTGCACTGCTGTCCCCCCGTCCCGTGCACCTCCACGGAGCTATCTGGAGGAGGAGAACCAACTGCACCCACCCAGGAGGTTTCCGCACCTGGGAAGGAAGCCCCAGCCACGCCAGAGGCCCCTGGAAGGGACTCCCTGGGTGAGCGGGGATTAGTGCCCTATGGATGAGAGCTTCCTGACACCCTCTCCTTTCTGGTTTCTAAGACTTTTTATTGATTGATTGATTGATTGATTGATTTAGAGAGAGAGAAAACTCTTCTGTCTGCTGGTCCACTCCCCCCAAATGCCCACAACAGTCAGGGCTGGACCAGGTCAGAGTTGGAAGCTGGGAACTCAGTCGAGGTCTCAGAAACCCAATTCCTTGAGCAGTCATCACTGCCTCCCCGCCCAGGTCTGCACTGGCTGGAGGCAGCAGCAGGAGCGGGAGCCGGGAATCGAACCCCGGACACTCTGCTGTGGACTGCGGAGGTCTTCACTGCTGGGCTGAGCCCTCGCCTCCCCCCTCCTCCTCTCTGCCATGAGTACAGGATGAGGAGACGCCGTCTGGAGCCAGATACCGCGTCTGTGAGCACCTGGATTCTGCACTTCCCGGCTCTACACTGCTGTCCTCGGCGCTCTCATCAGAGCAGTGTGAGTGGACTGCAGCGCACAGCAGGACACTGCCTGCCTACTCCAGGCCCCTGAGCCTGCAGCTGAAACCACCGCACAGAACCGTCCTTGGGGGATGGCAGGAGCTCCCCCGCCCAGGCCCTCAGGGAGGTGGCCATGGCCATGCTGGGCCCTGCTAAAGGGCTTCATGAGGAGGGGGCACTTGCTGCCCCCTCGGCCTGACTCCTCTCTGGTGGGAGCACTCTACCTCGCAGTGGGGTAGTTAGGTGAGTGAGTAAAGTCCCTGATGCCACAATTACCCAGACCACAGTTAACGGCTGAGATGAATAATTAATAATCAATTATTAATGACTATCCATCACCTATCATTAACAATTAATGGTGATCATTATCACCGGGACTCATCTCTGGCTCTCCCAGGACTTAACCCCACCCCTGGACCCCATGGAAACCTCAGGTGAAGTTCGAAGAGGGATGCACGGAAGAGTGACCGTGACCTTGGCTACAACAGAAGCCACCGCGACTTCCTGGAGCAGCTGCCTCCCCTGCCATTTCCTGCCTGTCACCTTCTGTCCCCATCACAGCTGGACACGGGTGGGGAGAGGAGCTGCAGGGCTCCCTGGTGATGACCTGGAGGTGTGTCTGTCTCCATCACGGCTTTGGGACCGCTCCCCTGATCCACGGCGAGATGGCATTCACACACCTGCATGTTTTTTTTTTTTCTTTTAATAAACAGCTTGGGGCTGCCTGGGGGCAGGGGTGTTGCAGCAGAGCTGACAAAAGTCATTTCTGCCGTCTTGGTTCTGGAAGGAGGTGGCCGTGACGGATGCGTCTCGGGTACTCAGTCTCCCCCATCGCCGCCAGGCGGGGGTGATGGAGGCATCAGGGGCACCTGTGGCCCGATCGCCCTGGCTTTCTGCCATCCTGCTCATCCCAGCTCCCCCTGCCACTGGTGGCTGCAGAGGCCAGGCCAGGACTTGGGGAGGGGAAGGAAGGGGAAGTCGCAGGGAGAGGAGGCGGGCGGTGGCGGGAGGATGAGCCCAGGACACAGGAACGAAAAGGGCGAAGGCAGGGAGGTGAGGAACTCAGATCACGAGGCGCAGCTGGCAGGAGCTGCTGACTCTGCTTCCTGCATCCTCCGAGTCAGCACTGAACTTGGCCTGCAGGAGGCGCTCAGTAGGTGATGCTGGATTCCATCAAAAGAGGAGACAGTGAAGGAAGAACACGGAGGTGTGGAAAGGAGAGGATGGGTAGAGGGTGAAAGGAAGGGAGGCAGAGCCCCTAAGACAGCAGTGGCGGTGTGAACAGGAGAGGGAGGTGGGGAGGAGGAGGAAGGGGCAGGAGGTGGTGACAGAGGAGGTGAAGGAAGGAGGAGACGGAGGGGCAAAGGGGGGGTGTGGGAGGGGCGGTCACAGGTGCAACAGAGGACCATCTACGCTCATCTTTGGCAGAAGTTGGGACAGCCCGGGGGGCAGAGAAGCTGCCAGCAGGACGGGGCTGGGAGGCTGCCTGGAGGCCCCAAGCCAAGAATGCTGTGTCCTAGGTACAGAGGTCATGGGCTCCCCCCACCCCCTGAACGGCCCCAGAGCTGTCAGTGCCAGGAGAGACCTGCCCGCCTTCTGCATGCCCCACCTGGCGCAATGGATGTCATAGGTGGGAAACCAATGTGTCCCAGTAGAGTCACTCAGGCGCCAGTCTGGCTGCAGGGGGTGAGGGGGTGTGGGAGGCAGGTGGGAGGGGTGGGGGAGCAGGGACCTGGTGTCTTGGGATTGGGGCGGGGTGAAGACCCACTTTTCTAGAATGGTCTGGTGCTTTGGAAGCCCCAGCTGGGGAGCTTGAAACAGGAACACAAGCCATAGGGTGCAGACTCCTGGGGAGCCGGAGAGAAGAGGGGCGGGGTCAGCAATGCAGGCAATGCTAGATTGACAGTGAACCATGGAGTGCGTGCAGTGGAAGGTGGATGAGGTGGGGACGGGAGGAACTGGAGCCGGGCACACAGCCTTGCTGGAGGAGGTTGCTCTGAGTCCAGCTTTGGCAGAGGGCTAGGATCGGGTGGTGGTGATGGGGAGAGAAAGAGACGCTAAGCAGGGCAGGAAGATTCCTCCCACCAGCTGTTGGCTTATTTTCAACGTGCAATACCCTCGACAAGCAAGGGCTGGGATCGGGACTTCCCAGGCAAGGAGACTGGGGCTGGGAAACATCGCCCAGCCAGGAAGGAAGATTGAGCGCAGGGAGGATGCCTCCCCCCAACCCCCGAGTGGGGGACATCCAAGGAAGCAGGCTGCACAGACAGTCGGGGGGGGGGGGGATGCGAGCACCATCCCTAAGCCTGGTCACTCCTGCCTTGAAGGCACAGAGATATGAGTCAGGGAATAGAGCTGTAAGTATGCCATATTCACTGTAATAACTTTTTATGAGACAAGAGAACTCCCAAGTCTGGCTCGCTCTTCTTGCTGCTGCTTAACTAGGACTCGCTGAGTCCTTGACATTTGTAGAAACCAACCCTGCGAGCTGTCCCCAGGGCTCACCTGCCCACATGCCGCCCGTGGCCAGCAGTGTTGGCTCTGGCCTCGCCACACATGCTCGCTGGCTGCCGGGAACCAGGACCAGCGCTTTACAGTGGCGACCAGAGACTAGGAGAGGCCGGCGGGTAGGGGGATGGAGAAAGGTTAGACGTGGCAAGCAAAATGCAGTGAGACAGGACTCAGCTCCAGGGTTCCAAAGCATAACAGGGCCGCTCCAGCCTGCAGCAATTTACTATCCATTTCTAAACGACTGGGAGACGCTGAAGGCTCCCAGCCCCCAGAAACGACTACCGCTACAGGAGCTGCAAATGCTGAGAGCCTTGCTTTGATCATTACGCATGGTGCAGGTGGTACACGTGGATCCCGCTAGTGCACTGCATCCCATAACCATGGACTACCATGTGTCAATTAAGAACAGTGGATTACCCAGCTCCATCCACCATCCCCCTAAAACCCATTTCAATGGGGGACAGAAGAGAATAAGAGGATCCCTCTAATTTAAAAGGAACTAAAGACGAATGCGAGAAGGGTTAAGGGTACTTACTATCCAACTTGTAAATCTAATATGGCTATAAAATAAAGTCCTTAAAAGAGAGAGAATATGACGGGGAGAGAGAGAGAGAGAGAGAGAGAGAGACTCAAGAGCTTCTTTTTACAAAATCCAGTGACATGAGACATTTTTAGAACACGTTTAGGGTAGTATGAATGTCTGGATCAGAGACCATGTTAGGGACTTGTTAAAGTCGTTAGGTGCCACAGTGGTGCCACAGTGAGGAGACGTCCCTCTTCACAG